TTTCTTCAGCCGATGATTAATTTCTTGTTCGACCTGCTGGAAGCATTCCCTACTCCTCAATCTTTGAACCCTTCTTTTCTGATTCTTCGTAAAAATACTAAGAGGACACCATTCAGTCTTCTTATTTTCATCATCTTTCGAATCACCACGTTGGTTTACTGGGCCCAATCTCTGATGAACAAGTACTCTTGTCTGTTTTGGCCAATTGCCTCCATCGTACAATCGGCTTGAACCCCCTGCAACATCACTGCATCCAGGACAATCCTCGATAGATGGTAACCTCATACCTTCATTCCAACAGAACCTGAAGAACTCACAGCCCCAATGAGGATCAGAGCTACCATTATCTTCTTCATGATGCTTTTCCTGTTGCTTGTCGTATTTCCTTTGATATTTGTTTATAATTCTAGCCGAACTTACTTGATAACCCCTCATGCGCCCCGTATCAGTTGTTCGGCTAGCTGTGTGTACCATGTTAACGGGAAATGGGTTACCATCGACCCTCATCGGCTTTTTGGAATCATCAAACTTAATCTTGCCTCCCTCAATGGCCACCTGAATCTGTTGTCTAAACACCTTGCAATCGATAGTAGAATGAGACCCAGAATTATACCATTTGCAATATCTCTTTTTACTTAATTCCTCAGCCGATGGAATCGTTTGACCAGCAGGGAGTTGAATTTGCTTCTCTCGGAGTAGCAGATCAAAAATCTTGTCAGCTTTAGTAATATCAAAATCATACTTCTCTTCCTTTCTAGAACTATTCACCCATTGGCACGGTATGACCTTTTTACTCCTCACCCATTCGGCTGCAGCTATCTCAGAGTCATCATGCCGCTGCTTAATCGCCGTTAAGTCGGATAACTTCATCTCATGAACCCCACTGTAGAAATAGCTGTGGAATTGCTTCTCCAAATCGGCCCAACTATTGATGAACCCATATGGCAAAGAAGAAAACCAAGTAAAAGCCGATCCAAACAAAGATAACTGGAACAACCTAACCCTCAGAGCGTCCACAACCGATGCTTTACCGCACTGAGCTAAAAATCGGCTAATGTGCTCATAAGTTGACACACCATCTTGTCCCAAAAATTTGGAGAAGTCCGGAACTTTGAACTGAATGTTGAGAGGAACTCTCTCAAACCACTCAGGGTAAGGCAGCCGATACAAGCTTCCAGTCTCTTTTGGTTTAAGCCCAAACTGTTCCCTCATTACATCAGCAATCACATCGGCCCACGGTCGTTGCTGAGCTGCTCCCTGTGACTATTGTTGCATGGGCTCGAACTGACCGTATTGAGACGCAAACTGAGGTTGAGCCAGTCCCCCTGACTGATATTGGGCTTGCGGGGAAGGAGGCTGATATTGATAATTCAAGCTGCCCCCTGGTAATTATGAAGGTTCGGCTGAATATTACGTGCCAAATGCTCGGGAACAACTTGAGGCATTACTGTGCCATCCGGCTGCACGGGGTGAAACAAGTGTTCTGGGACGACTTGATTTAAAAATTGTTGTACAGGTTGTCCACCAGGCGTCACAAACCTGGCCGATGCGCTCATTGAGCCTTGGTGCTGAATCGGCTGAATGATTTGCTATCTTAATGGCGTTCGCTGAATCGGCCGCGGAGGCTGTTGCCTTGGTGGCGTTTGCTGGACTGGTTACACAACTTGTTGCTGGATTGGTTGTACAACCTGCTGACTCGGGAGTGTCTGTTGAATCGGCTAATGCTGTATTGGATCAACAGCAGGTTGAGGCGGCAGAAACATGGCAGCAACCTGATCTTGCGTCGGCCGATTCACAACCTGCCCACTATGTTGTGGCTGCTCTCTCATTAACAACTGAGGGTTCACCAGCTGGCCTGGTGCCAATGCTGACGGAGCAGGTAAGGGAGTCGATGCCGTCGCCGTCGGCTGAGCTGATGGTGCGACGGGGGGAACTGCCTAAATAGATGGTTGGGCATCAGTAATCAAAGGCCGATAATTTGGAAAGACACCTCCTTGCAAATAAACTGGGCCTGCAGCCTGATGCTCAGCTATTGATCCATCGGCTATTGACTTCGTCATGTTTGATAAGGTATTGACTAACACCCCAGACTGATTGATCAAAGCATGGTGCACAACATAGTCGACCCGGTCTTGGAAATTATTGAAAAAATCTTGTGCCGCATCACTATTCTGATTAAGATTTCCACGTTGCAACCCCTGAGCACCATCACCTTGAACTCCATGCACCCCTTGAGAGTTGTCAGCTTGACTTCCTAGAGAACCGTCGGTAGCAGCTTTGTCACTCAGTTGAGCCAAGCCATTTGGAGCTTGTTTCCCGTCTTCACCTTTGGAAGAACTGGTCCCAGGGTCATCGGCAACTACCTTTACTTTATACTTCTGAACCAATGTTCCCTTGCGGGTCTGCATGAATGAGTTCAAGACCTGATCCCGGGCTTGCTACAACACTGCTTCAAAATCCTTCTGCTCAGGTGTGAATTTCTCTGGATTGATGGGCACGACGTTTCCTTCATTGACATCAGTCAACCCCAACTTCTGGATCTTTTATTTAACAGTGCTTGGGCTAGCCGAGGATGGCGACTGCGGTGGCTTCTCGGCCATGAGGAAGAATTGCTTGCAGCCTGATGCTCAGCTATTGATCCATCTGCTATTGACTTCGTCATGTTTGATAAGGTATTGACTAACACCCCAGACTGATTGATCAAAGCATGGTGCACAACATAGTCGACCCGGTCTTGGAAATTATTAAAAAAATCTTGTGCCGCATCACTATTCTGATTAAGATTTCCCTCTTGTAACCCCTGAGCACCATCACCTTGAACTCCATGCACCCCTTGAGAGTTGTCACCTTGACTTCCTAGAGAACCGTCGGTAGCACCTTTGTCACTCAGTTGAGCCGAGCCATTTGGAGCTTATTTCCCGTCTTCACCTTTGGAAGAACTGGTCCCAGGGTCATCCGCAACTACCTTTACTTTATACTTCTGAACCAATGTTCCCTTGCGGGGCTGCATGAATGAGTTCAAGACCTGATCCTGGGCTTGCTGCAACATTGCTTCAAAATCCTTCTTCTGCTCAGGTGTGAATTTCTCTGGATCGATGGGCACGAGTCAACCCCAACTTCTGGATCTTTTATTTAACAGTGCTTGGGCTAGCCGAGGATGGCGATAGCGGTGGCTTCTCGGCCATGAGGAAGAATTGCTTGCTGACTTCTAATTTGTCCCACCGGGCGTGCCAAAAGCGTGTTGATAGAAAACATGAGGCCTGGGAGATCTGCTTAACTCCAGTGCAGGTCCAAAGCTCGCCTTCGAATGTATGAGCGTGCCAGTTGATTTGATCCTGTAATCAACAAGAAATAGAGACAAAGAATTCGTGGTTAAATCTATAAATGATAGCCGATTGGCTAGGTGCCGATGACATCATTTATCTTTGAGCCGATGTCATATGTGAATCGATCGGCGGTTATAAATAGATAGTAAGAAACTAAATCTATTCGATCGGCTGTATATATTAACGATATATAGTTCTTATATTAATATATACTTAAATCAAGTGATTGGGGTAGATCGGCCACCATGCCGAGACAGAATAAATCACTTCGATCGAAATATATATTAATAACAGGATTATATATGTTTATAGCATAGCCAATCAGATAGATCTAGCATGTATCCGCTAATACTCCGATACTACTTTATATAAAGATATCAAAACAAATATAATATACCAAACAAAAGCTTAATATACTTAAATGCAATAAGATCCTGACATAAATGGCAGATTTAACATGTCATTGAAGCATATAGATTGAATATGGTTAAATCAGATAATATCGGCTGAAACTCCGATGCTACCCTAATCGGCAACCAGAGGACAGGCTAGAGATTGATATTCTAAGCACGACTTAATAGATCAAACTCAACTGATGCAGCATTAAGTATGAAAAGAAGAACAATATCTAGACAATCAAGCCGCTGGGTGTTTCATAAAGTGGTAGATATCTTATATAATCTAGGACAACGTCGCTATTTAACCTAATCGGCTGCCTTCTATTAACAGATATTAGCCGATTGTAGGTTAGATGACGATATTGCCAAAGATTATGTAGGATATATGATAACTTGACGAATTATATAGACAAGATTAGAGTGTCATAAAGATGGAAGCACTAATCTCGAGAACGCAAGTCGTCATAACAAGTTTTACCTCTTGTTGAAGATCGAAACCAATGCAGCTCAACCCGAAAGCAAGAACTCGTCGAAACAAAACTAAAGCAAAAAAGTGGCGATGCGCCGAAATTGTATTGAACGTGTGTGTTACCAATTACATAGGGCTCGAGGTCTATTTATACCCGAGAATTACAAGATATGTCCATACCGGACACGACCACTATCTCTAACAAGCTCTAAGATACCATAAGTCTTTGCGGCAGACTTTTGCCCAAACATATCTCTAAGAAAGTTACATAAAACATCGTAATTAATAGATACAATTGCCTTCTCAGGACTCTATCAATGTGCGGCAATCATCTTGAAGCACCTCGATTCAACCCAATGTCATACACCAAATTATACTATCAGAATCGGCTGAATCGGCTCACCTAGTCCGACTCAGACCCAGCCGATCCTAATCGTAGCCGATCTGGACTTCAGCCGATTCTTGCTCTGTTCTAGGATCAATCTCCGCCTTCAACTCCACCTTGATCTAATCTCCTTTTCCGATGCTGATATTACCAAATTTGGTCGTTAACAAATACACAAATGTTGCAATGCGATGGTACACAAAATTGCCGCAAATAATTTCAATATATTATATGCTATTCTATATATTTACTGCAATGATATCAATTAAAAGTAATAAAAGCATCATAAATAATCAATAATCATATATGCGATAAATAAATTTCATAATCATAAACATCAGCAATAAAAGATACCTTAAATACAAAGTCAAGGTCGAAATGCAATGTCCGATGGACCCTTTTTATGCGTGAATATGATTTTAGTGATATTTGCAAATTTCAAATGCTTTTCAAACAAATATCCCAAATGCAGAGGTTATTTGTGTGTTTTCTTAAAACATTAGGATTTAAAAGGTAAATTTCCTTTGCAGAGGAATATGCACTTAATTTCCAAAAAATGCAAGGGTCCATTTGCAAAATCACATGAGCATCGGTCCTTTCCACTTCTCTTTCCCTTTCTTCTTCTTTCCTTCTTTTCCTTTCCACCGATGGTTCCTTTCCATGTGGGGGCGGCCGATGGCGTGACTCGGTCGGCGACCGGCGGGGGCGGCGCGGGGCGGCGGCCGGGGAACGGTGGAGCGGCCATGCGGATGCAGCGTGGCGCGGCGCGGCTAGGTCGGCGACAGCGCGGCCATACGTAAGCGGCGGCGCGGGTGCGGGCGGGCGACCGGCGCCGCGAGCACGCCCGTCGCGGCGGTCGTGGCCGGGCAAGGCGACGCGGCCGGATTAGGCCGGCGCGGGCACGGCAGCGGCGTCGACCTCGTTCATGCGTGGTTGCAGCGGCCAGGGGGGCGGCGCGGCGAGCCGAAGGGTGGCGTGGCATGGCGTGCTATTTGTGGTGGGCGGCCGGCGACGGCGGCTCGGCCATCTGGTGCTGTTCGTCGCCTTTTCCCCTTTTTTTTCGTTCTTTCATTTTTCTCCCCCGATTGTTCCTTGCCATATGCGGATGCCGGGTAACGGGGAACGGCCGGACGCCACAGGCGTGGCCGTGCGGCGGCGGTGCTGCAGGCGCGGTCGGCGGTCGGGCGCCAATGCTGTCGGCGCCGGGGCGACGGCCGATGGCGCACCCTCTTTTTTTTTTCATTTTTCTTTTCTTGTTCTTCTTCCTTTCTTTGTTCTTCGTGCGTGGTGGTCGGCCCGGTGACAAGCACGCGGCGCGGCAGGGCATCATCTCCGTGGTGGCACGACGCAGTGCGGCGGATGCGCGGAACGGCGCATCGTGCGTGCGCACGGCGCGGCCCCGGCCTCGGCTTAGGCGTGGTGGACAGCGCGGGTGCGGCCGCGGCACTGAGATGAATTTGCTTTCATTCATGTGAAGCTCAAATTTGCAGAAAATCTTAGACAAGCCCATTGGATGGCTCAGCTCGATGTGGGCGGTGCCCCCTAGGATCCTTGACTATTCATGTTTGCAGTCCAACAATAAAGCAAAACTTGAAAGCTGCTGCTTGAAACGCCATAGCTATTCATCTTCTTAATATAAACTGCCAATGTCCTAATTTATTTTCATCTTCATTAAATATAAATGCATTAATGTATCAATGCATCATGTGATTTGCCGGCCGATTCATCAACTCCATCGGATATTATATATATATGGTTCATCTCGCCTAGGTTTGATGGCGGCTCAGCAACCAGAAACCATTTATACTCCCGGTTGGTAACCCATTTAGTCCCGGTTTTTCAACCGGCGGTTTTCCAACCGGGACTAGCAATCCGGCGTTTTTCAACCGGGACTAGCAATCCGGCGCATCTTTAGTCCCGATTGAAATAACCCGAACTAAAGATGGATTTTAGTCCCGGTTGGTGTGATATCAACTGAGACTAAAGAGAGGGTAGTGGCAGTCCAATTAGGTCTCTTTTTCTTTTTTTTTCATTGTTTTTTAGCCAGAGTTTAATCCTGTATTTTCTCCCAAATCGAGTTGGATGCATATTCCGAAATCAAAGTAATATTCCAAAACATTCACATCACAAATCTTAAGTTACTTGTACACACAAATCAAATACATCACAAATCCTAAAAAAATTACACACAAACCAAATACATCACATATTATACATCTCAAATCTATACAACAAATCACAAAATTATACATCTCAGTGAATCACAAATTGTAAAAAAAATAAAGAATGGATGCCGGTAGCGCCGCCCGCTCGCTACTCGGCCTGTGCTCAGCCGCCTGCTGCATGCGGCCTCGCCGGCCACCTGCCGCGTGCGGCCCCACTTGGCACGGTAAGGGAGGAGGGGGAGGAGGCGCTGGGCACGGGAAGGCAGGAGGGGGAGGAGGCGGCCCTCGCTGGGCATCGGATAGGAAGGGAGGAGGGGAGGAGAGGGCTAGGATGGGAGGAGAGGGAGATGGATCTGAGGAGAGGAGAGGCCGGTTGTTGAGGAGATTGAGGCCGGTTGTGGTGGAGAGGATAGGGAATAGGGATTATATACTACGCGTGATGTTAGTTCCGTTTGTTATAGGGAGTAAAGAGGAGATCTTTAGTCTGGACTAAAGTGGTGATCTAGGTGATCTTTAAGCCCGGTTTGTGACACCAACAGGGACTAAAGATCCCCGCCCCTCTGACAAGGGACTGATAGGGATGAACTGGGACTAAAGATGATCTTTAGGGACTAAAGATCGTAGAATGGCTGTGGGGTTTTAAACCAGGACTAAAGATCATCTTTAGTCCCGGTTCTTTTTGTAACCGGGACTATTGTGGTTTTGGGGCGACCGAGCAAAGATTAGTTTCCAGTAGTTATATCCAATCGTACGTGGAGGTCTTCCCTCTTCCACGTTGGACATCGCCTGATATTTGTTTCCTGAAAAGTTAACTTCCTTCTCTATGTTTTGGCATTCTGCTGGCGTGAATTTTTTACTTTTTAAAAAATTATGGATGTTTAGGCCATCAGCAATGGGTAGCCTCAGGGGCGTGTCCCTAGCTCCTTCCGTCCATCTCCGTTTACTTTTTCGTTCGCACCGTCCCCCAACGACGCCACGCGACTCCCGTCTGGGCGATGCGGCTCCTCCTTTTCGGCCAGGGGATGGGCTCGAGGCACGCGCTGCGGCGACGGGTGCCTCGGGCAACGGGTGCTCCACCTCCATATTCTCCTTCCACCCCTCTCCCCTCTCTCTCCCGTTCCCCTCGAGCTCGAGCTGAAGGGAGCTCACGGGCGGCGCTGTGTGGCGGAGTAGACGGCGGCGCGGTGGGGCAAAGTCGCAAACCACGCAGCTTGAGCTTGTGCTGACCATGGTGGCAGCTCGCTCCTGCCGTGCGTCCGCTTCGATTGCTCCGCCTCGCTTGCTTCGCCCGGTACCCAGCTCGGCCGCGCGAGTGAGCTCGTCAGCCGACTGCCGCCTTGCTTGCTCCGCCCGGTACCCAGCTCGGCCGCGTATGCGAGCTCGCTATGCCATCCACCGATCTTGGCATCGGTTTGCTGCTCTCGATGGAAGATTGGGGAAAAAGATGAGATAGAGTAGTACAGATGATGCGGTGAATGGCTATGAACGAAGAGGATAAGATAGAGTAGTACAGATGATGTGGTGAAGTAGTACTTGAGAGTGTGATAGAAAATACTAGTATTCTATTGCTTAATTAGATTATAATATATAGGTTACTCTTGATTGAAAATTACTGTGTTGAATATATTCGTGTATTCTGAATGCTTCATGTCTTCAAATTCCTTAGTTTGAAGAGAGGGGTAGAAGAGGAAAACAATACTTGTGGCTTTATAGGTTGGGATTTTGAGGAGCCCATTCAGGGGTGTCCTCCATTGCGAGTTGAGTTTTCCTACGTGTGTCCTTAGTTAGTGAGGACACTTTAGGAGTAGCTTATATTGTGGATGCCCTTGGCTATTTAGAGAATGCTTCACTGTTATGGCGATGTCAAATAACAGTGGTACGAAGTAACCTTTTTGTGTTGTCTTTTTAGTTCTTTTACTTTATTTTCTCTATGGAACTCCTGTAGCTGTTCATCTTTTCCAGTATATGTACCGCCTTGAATTTCACAGTCCCGATGCGATTTGTTGCACAAATGTGGGACCGTCTATGAACAAACTCCAGCGATCAAGGGTAAATGCACGTGCCTTGCTGCTGCCATACATCATACATGCATGGCCCCAAAAATTTGTTGGCACAGTATCTCTCTCACTCTCTCGCTCGATCTGCATTTGCCATGGCATATCTATCTCTCTCTTTTTTATTTTTAACCGAACTGGCATATCTACCTCTTATTCTCTTGCCATTGATTTCTGCAGGACAACACAGGCGGCAGGTCCATGTTCTTTACCAATAATATGGATATCTTGATCCTAAAACAATTTTGTAATTCTATCATGTTCTAGGTAGCATCATTGATCATAGTTTGATTTGAGTTTGTTTATGACCAAGTTTCATATAAATGCCAAAGCATATAAATGTAACAGCTTCTACTGTTGCTCTGTTTGCGTACCATATCAAACTATCAACAGGATTGAGGGATCAGTTACTCTCGGATTTGACCATCACCAGCTTCTCAAAAAGGTGCATGCCAAAATCTCCATGGTATTTAGACTGCAGATCACAGAATGTTGTCTGTATAATTCTTCCATTTCACACATAATGTGATTAATGTGAACACGTTTTCTGAATAATAGTTACCTGCTTCATGTTTTCACAGTTACTTTTTAAGACTATGGTCATTGTTATCAGCATATACAATTAGCAGCTATGTATCCACATTTTATCTTTGTTGTTAAAAGATATCACATTTAGAACAATCACATCTTATAGCCCTTTTAATCATGTAAATAGTGTCCTGCGTGTTGGACCAGATTACCCAAGTGGATCCCCTTTTATTCGACCAATAATTTGATGTGTAATTTTCTTCTTTTTCTTTGTTGTCATAAAATATTGAATTATTGATATCAACTAGGAACAAAGCCTGCGCAGATGCACGGGCGTCTTATTGATTGTTTTATAAAAACAATGATAAAAAAGTCGTATCTCACCATTTCTATTCAAATGATATTAAATGATAAGAATATCTCTAAAATTAAAAAAAACACTTTGAACGAGTAACATATAAATTATACTATTCTCACTATTACTTATTACGTTTTAAAAGTTGAGTGAATTGCATATGTACCAATAAAATAAGCCTAATACATCATTGATACACTAAAAATATCCACTACCACTATAAGAAATGTAATTATTGTCAAGACTATTTCCCCTTGCAATAGTATAGCCTTGCAGAAGATCCTTATCTGCTACCATCACTCTAGTTCCTTGCTAATAATGTTTATTTGCAAGGGTCATGAACGTACCCTTGTAGAATGTCGTCATCCCCAAGGCATATGCGATGGTCCTTGGGATTGTATGAAATAAAGCATCTCTTTGTAATATAAATTACATAATATAAATTATACAGTTAGTTAATTGCTAGTATTACGCTAGCCATGCATGGATCTTGTGAGCTTGTTTTTATTTATAAATAGATTAAACATTATCTAAAAATAAAAATATATTTAATTGATTTCTGTGAAAAAAACTCTATAAATAGCTAAATAAAAAACAAAATTAAAGAATTGCAAATGAAATTGTGCCTGTACTGTCAAAAACTTCTTTTACATTTACTAAGTTTTAGTTTGCTAATTAAAGTATAGCTAACCGATAAAAATTGTATGAAACGTGTTAATATAAAATGTCGACCACGCGACCTCATTACCAGTACTATAAAAAAAAATATAAATGAACTATTCGGAAGGGCCTGCAAATGATAAAAACAGGGCATGTGCGTGTGACATGCATAACTGTTTGTCTTCCATTAATAGAAAAACATAAATTAATTATCATGATCTTTTAATAACACGAATATTTTAATAGTAGAGATACCGAGTCACATCTAAGGTTATATTTTAGTATAGGTTTTATTTAAATATTACATTAATAAAATGGTGTAACGCCATGATATATTTTTTTAGCCATATGTAACAAGTGTCATGCAAACGAGAGAAGGCGCCCACCGTTGTATCTGCCGTATAAAAATTTATCAGTACATTGGCACCTCTACTCTAAAGGGATATTTTCCCATGCTAGCATGCTTGTCACTACTACCTAACACTCTAGTAGCTACTACTTGTTGTCGCCATCACGCCAACCCTCTAATTAATACATTATTATAACCACTGTTGTCGTTGCCGAGGTCTTATATACACTGTCTCCATGGTTGACAGGTTGAGTAGCGTTGCCACTGTTCTATCTTCGTCGTCAAGCTCCATGACCGCCACTTAATCGAAGGTATTATTGTACACGCCTACCACACTTATGTTATTACTGGTGGCTCTACTCCCGTAGCAACGATCGTTATAAAAATTGAAAAAATTAAAAAAATTCTAGATTGATTATCTAGAAATAAAGGATGCAAAATCTATATTTAAAGACGGTATATTTTACTCTTATGCTCATGTAACTTTGAAAATAATTACATAATTTTTGTATAATAGAAAACACGAGATTTCATATATTTTATAAATAATATTACCATGTATAAATTTTTGATGCAATATTTTATCCTGAGTTAGTTTTTTAATGAGGGAATATCTGGAGTTTGTTTTGACCCAGCCACATCCCACTCCCTGAAAAAAAGGATGTTTTCCCGTACTTAAAAAAAAAACCTGCCAGCCCTCTAGAAAAACCCCGTCAACTCAAAAAAAAAAAGAAAAAGAAGGGCTCTCTAGCTCTCATGAAAAAAACCCCCAAGTCCCAATCCATCTTTTTCCTTCCCGCGATTTTCTGGCATTCCCCCCAAAATCATCGACCCCCATTATCCCATCTCTCCCACTCCCCATGTTTGCCGGTCTAATTGTGATTTCCTCATCTGATTGGAGAGATTTATTTGCCCCTCCGTGAGTTTGTAGCACCCAATTTTCTTCATTTGTTTTCTTCCTCGCATGATCGCTAACAATCCCCTGCCGCGCGCTTGCCTCGACGCAGGTTGGCACCCCCGTCGCACTCCGAGCCATCAGGTGCGGCACCTCCTGTAGCCCGGTGCCTGACACCCAGGCCCAGCACTCCTACCTCGTCGGAGTGTGCCGCTCTGCCGTGCCCCGATCCTTCCTCCTCAGGTAACATCTTGATTAATGTGTGCCTACCAGCTGCTCGATGGAATTCCCCTGTAAGAATTTTGTCATGTCCTGTGATTTTCATCTTTTGTGATTGTATCCCATGAGCATCTCAACTAATGATTTTGAAAGAATGTTCATCATCCTTTTGGTTTCTTCTACTCTCCTTGCTCCAGGATGTTGGATATTGGATTAATTTGTTTATGGTTTAAGTAATACACACTAAAATTTGCTCTCTAACTTGCACATGTATGACTCAAGTTCCTGACGATGCTTGTGTTTCTAATTCTTTAGTTGCTCGCTACTAGATATTTTTATTGCCCAAAAATTACGAGTATCTCTAGTAGATATATATTCTATCATCAGTTCTTCGGATTAGAATATACAGGTAGGAATTATTAACATAGTTTAATTTATGATTGGTACTGATCTCAGGATTGTTTTAAGTGGTTAGAAAATTCAGGTCTCCTGAAAGTACGGTGGAATTTGAATGTTAATAATTGTGCAATCTCAGGATTGCTTTAAGTGGTTAGAAAATTCAGGTCTTCTGAAAGTACGATGGAATTTGAGTGTTAATAATTGTGCAATCTGATAGCAAACCATTGGCATGTGTGCAAAAATTCAGTAAATTAAACAAGCTAAGACACATGTTGTTTATTCTTTTGGTGTATTGAAGTGTAGACAGAGTAAACAAATTATAGAGAAATATGTACTACTTAATATGTTCAAGTTATCACTAATAATGATTTATCTGGGAGCAATTATTTTTTGTATTTAAAAGAAGATTTGCTATTAGTCTACATCTAATCTTTCCTCTTCTTATTTTGATAAACTTCCTTTACATAATCTTTCAAAATATGCATCCTTACCATATAATTTCAAGTGTAGGGCTAGCCATTATTTGCATGTCAGAATAGCTTGTTTAGTGTGAGATTAATGGCTGAGGACCGTAGTTGGATGTATAAAAGGGTAGTGAATGGATACATTTCAGATGAGTATTTGAAAGGAGTTAAGAGGTTTATGTCACACGCTGTATCAAAGTTACAAGGTCAGGCAGAGAAAAGGGTTAGATGCCCTTGTACGAAGTGCAAGAATGGGCAGCTGCATGACAAAAGAATAGTTCAAATGCACCTTTGCAATAAAGGATTTACTGAAAATTACCATGTGTGGAGTAGACATGGTGAAAGTGGAGCTGATACCAGTGAGACACCAGAAGGCAGTATTGACAATGAGATGAATAAAGGAGGTAATGCCTATGGAGAGTCAGATCATATAGATGAGATGGTGTTGGATGCCGCAGGGCCTAATTTTTGTCAAAATATTGAAGAGCCTCCAAATGCTGAAGCAGCTTCATTTTTTGATATGTTAGATGCAGCAGACAAGCCATTGTGGGAGAAGTGTGGAAAACACTCTCAATTATCTGCAGTCTCTCGGTTGTTGACAATAAAATCAGACCATAATATGTCTGTAGCTTGCTTTGATGAGCTGGTCAAGGTTATGAAAGAAATGTTGCCTCCAGATGCAAATTTGCCAGGTAGTTTTTACAAATGCAAGAAAGTCGTCGAAGCTTTAGGTATGCCTGTCCAAAAGATTGATGTTTGTAAGAATGATTGCATGTTATACTATAAGGAGCATGCTAACAAAAGGAAATGTATAACATGTAATGAGCCTCGTTATATTGAAGGGTTAGAACTCCCTGAGAATAAGAAGGGCACTCCACAGAAGGTGCTTCGCTACCTCCCAATCATTCCACGCCTACAGAGGCTCTACATGTCACGAGGCACTGCAACACACATGACATACCACAAGGATGGGCTTGAATCAGAGAGGTGCAACAATGAAAGCAGAAAGAAAAAGTTAACTCACCCAGCAGAGAGTGAAGCATGGAAGCATATTGATTCAAAGTACCCTAATTTTGCAAAGGAGCCTCGAAATGTGCGTTTAGGGTTGTCAACAGATGGATTCACGCCATTTAATCAAACTGCAACCCCTTACTCCTGTTGGCCTGTTTTGTTGTCCCATATAACTTGCCCCCAATTTTTTTGAATGCACATTATATTATCCTTACCANGGTTATACCACNGCCTACNCACCCTNCNNNGAACATATANNTATTCTTCCATCCACTAATNGATGAACTTTTGCNACTTTGGAGAGAAGGAGTTGTGACATATGATCGCTCAAAAAACCAGAACTTTGTCATGCGAGCTGCCCTTATGGGGACAGTAAGTGACTTTCCTGCATATGGGATGTTGTGCGGCTGGAGCACACACGGTTAATTAGCTTGTCCAATTTGCATGGAAGACACAAAGTCATTTTGGCTAAAAGTTGGAGGCAAGCCATGTTGGTTTGATTGTCATAGGCGTTTCCTACCAAAGGGACACCCTTTTAGACATGCAAAAGACAAGTTCATCCAGAATAAGGAGGACAAAGATGGCCCACCTATTCATCGATCATCTTCAGAAGGGTATGATTGTGTTAAATCTCTCCCTCAAATTACATTTGGTACCAAGGCAGGAAATCAAGAGATTGAGGGTTTTGGAAAGGAGCATAATTGGGTAAAAAGATCTATCTTTTGGGAGTTGCCTTACTGGCGCGAGTTGTTAGTACGGCACAACCTTGATGTGATGCACATTGAAAAGAATGTGTTTGACAATATATGGAATACTTTGATGGATATCCCAAAGAAGACTAAAGATAATGTCAAGGCTCAATTTGATTTAGCCAATATATGCAATCGCAAAGAACTTCATATGCAACAAAAATCTATAGGTCGATGGGTGAAACCAAAAGCTTGTTATAGTCTAGATAAGGCACAGAAGAAATTGGTACTGCAATGGGTTAAGAATCTTAAATTCCCTGATGGTTATGCATCAAATTTAGCACAGGGTGTTGATATTAATCGAGGCAAGATCATAGGAATGAAGAGTCATGATTGCCATGTCTTCATGGAAAGGTTGCTACCTGTGGCATTTCGTGATTTCCTCCCCAAGCACATCTGGAAGTGTTTAGCAGAACTGAGCTACTTCTTTAGGCAACTATGTGCAAAAGAGGTGGATATAGAACAAATGAAGCACCTACAAAAGGAAGTGCCAGTCATTGTGTGAAACTTGAACAGATTTTTCCTCCTGGATTTTTTGATTGTATGGAACACTTGGTGGTGCTCTGAGCTTATGAAGCTTTAATTGGAGGGCCTGTAGCTTTGCTCTGGATGTATGTATTTGAAAGGTATGTTTCTTTGGTTAAGTACTAAAGTGTGAATTTGTATATTAATTTCATAATTATGTTTTCTGCTCAATTCATAGGGAGTTACATGAGGCTCGCAAGAAGGTTCGAAACAAAGCACGTGTCGAAGGTTCAATTGTAGAGGGGTATAGAGTACAGGAGGTCTCTAATTTTATTTCTATGTACTTTGCTGATCATGTGCGAACAAAGCACACTCGCGTCCCTAGACATGATGATGGTGGTTTCAGAGCACCTACTGACTGGCTGTCTATATTCTCTATCCCATATCGCACTCTTGGAAAGAGCACATCATGTAACTTATCAAGAGAAGAATGGCAGGCTGCTAGGGTATATGCATTACTCAATTGTGCAGAAGTTGACAAATATGTCTTGTAAGTATATATTATTCTGTTTTCCTATTTTATTACTTGGGCTCTATTTTTGTGAATATGACATATTACATTTATGTTATTGCAATAAATGTCAGGAAATTTGATAGGGGGATGAAACAACAAAACAGGAACATCACTACAACTCAATTACAAGAGATGCATGAGAAAGATTTTCCAACCTGGGTTCGTGAGTTGGTAAGAATACATGATGTAATATCTGATGGATTATTATTTATTTTAATGCATGATTCATGAAAATTGATTCTACAGGCTGGAAAAGATGAAACAGTTGAAGAACAAGTAAGGGCTCTTTCCATTGGGCCCCGATACATGGTTAAGTGTTATAAGGGATGTGATGTTCAGGGGTTTCGTTTTCGTACACAACCATATGAACAAAAGAAATCATCGAGGACAATGACAAATAGTGGAGTTTGTGTGTCAGCAAATTGGTTTGATAACCAAGGGCCTGACTACTATGGCACTATTCAGGAGATAATAGAGTTGGAATATGTCAGTGATAGTGATCTAAAGGTGGCTCTATTTAAGTGTGTCTGGTTTGATCCTAAGAAAGGAGTGAAGTATGACAAAGCACTAGGCCTAGTTGAAGTTAACCATACATCAAGATTGGAACAATATGAGCCTTTTGTGCTTGCATCCCAAGTGGAACCAAGTATATTATACACCATATCCATCGCCACCACGTGAAAGAAAAGATTGGTGGGTTGCATTCAAGACAAATCCAATTGGTACTTTACCCGTTCCTGCAGTGGACGATGAAGTTGATGATTCGCTTCCTCCTGTAGTTTCTGAATATTATCAAGAGGGAGAGCAGCTTGGAGCTGACATTTCACAGGAGCTTGGTGATGAAAGCTTGCTTCATGAATCAAATATTGTTGAGCAAGTTGATCCAGAAGATATGGATTTTTTAAATAGACCAAATAGCCATGAGAACATAGAGAGTTATGTTGCCATGGACAGTGATTGCAGCAGTGAAGATGAAGGGCCAATAGAATCAGATAATGACTCAGACAATGATAGTGATTCTAGTGACTAAACAATTGATATATATATGTGTGTGTGTGTGTGTGTGTGATATTATTATTTCATTTTCTCATGAGCAGTGGCATTATTACAAATTTACTATGTTATCTATTCTTCAATGACTACATTTGCTTGCAAAATAACCCTTGTTTTTACTAGTTAAGTACTATGTCAAGACGCCATCGACATTATCCGGATCCTGAAGTTGAAGACCATTTTGAGGATTCAACACAAGATGAACCTTCAAATTCTTTGGTTACTTCAACAAAAGAAAGTAAGGGTGGTCGTGGTCCAAATGTTTTGATGGCACCAGTTCCAGAGAAAGATAGGGCAGTGATAACTCCACTCAATAAAGAGTAAGTTGACACTCTAAATTTCTGCTTATATTAAAACACACACTGTCTATCACACACACAAACACACACTCCATATAATATGTATATCATTGTTGTTAATAATTGAAAATCTTGTTGTAAACTCCATGTTAAATTTTAAGAAATACAGATGCATAGTTCCTATAAATCCAATATTATGATGGCTGAACATATTTTTTTATCACTTTCATTGTTTTACACTAATATTACCTAACTTGGTAAATGGCATGTTGTTTCTAGTGCTTGGATTACGAATCCTATGAAGAAGAATGTTTCATCTACCATCACATGTCTTATAAAAGCTCACTACCCTGGCACATATAGACCTTTGGATAAACATGGCAAACAGGTGCCTGAGGATGAAGCAGTTGTCATTGCTCATTATCACAACTTTTCTGCTCATACAAGGATAACTATTCTGAAGGAATTTTTGGTGAGTTACAGTGTTAGCATTCACATAGAATATTTAGGTTCTTTTAATGGATTGACGTCCTACCTTATCCTTTTACAGCTGTGTTTTAAGTTTGCTGATGGTAGAGAAGAGGATTGTGCTAGATTATTTTATCGCAAAGCTGTTGAACGTTTTAGCCAAGCTTTGTCACATGAGAAATCTGAAGCAAAACGTTCTTTGGAGAAGCATATCGAAAATATGCGTGCGACTGAGTTACAACAGGATGGAGATGCCCCTTCTCATGATGATTTTGATGTTGATGAACCTCAACTTTGGAAGGCATTCCCTCCTTATTGGATTGAGCAAAAGTGGTGGGATATGTTGTGTGACTTGTGGTCTGATGAAAATGTAAAGAAGGTGTCAGCTCAAAACAGCAAAAATCGGATGGAAGGAGGTGGTGTTCATCATACTTGTGGTTCACGAAGTGTTGCTATGCATAAACAAGCCATGGTACCAAAGTTAAATGATTTTCCTATTATGATTTATACTACTTTGACTTCTCACTATGATATGTACTTTTGGATAGATAATTGAGAATGCAGGGACGGATGTTGATGATATTGATGTCTTTGAACGCACACATCGACATGCAAAGGGCAAGGGACAGTATGCCAACAAGAAAGCTGAATAGTTAGCGGTATGTGTTCTGCTTATTCTAGTTCCTAGTTTCAAGTTTGGCAATCAAAAAAAGTGAAATCATCTAAAACCATGCAATGGTGCCACTACATATCTTAATTAGGTGGTGTATAATGATCGTGTCAAGGAAGGAGAAAACAATCAAGTCAACAAACAACATGTTTGGGTGCAGCTCACTAAAGGTAGAAAACGTGGAAGGTATTATGGTCTTTCAGGAATTATAGATAGAAACCATGTTGGTAATTCAGCAAGTGCACCATCTGGTAGCATGGAGACACAGCCACTATACACACAGCAGCAAGTGCAAGACATTGTTCAGCAGGCAGTCACTAATGCTGTGAACAATGCTCATCAAGAACTAGCATCAAGGATAGAAAGGCTAGAGCAGACAGTGGATAAGGATAAGGCAGAAACTCATTCCCATGTAAGTATAAATTAAAGCTATTTTTGTTACCTAGAAAGAACATACTAACTGGTATTATTTTTCAAATCACAGGATGCAAATGGACCATCTTCTTCTGTTGTCCCTGAGTTCCTTCATGCACTTCTCATGGTATATACTGACTTCAATCTTTTTACTACTGTACATCCTTATTATTTATTCTCTTGAACAAACATTATGAAAAATTTGGTTCTTGGACAACAATAGATCAATTTAAAAATGTTCTGCCAATGGTATGGCTTTAGTTGCGATACCAGTTAGTGAGTTCAATTTAGAAATGGACTGCTATGTATCATTCATAAGTTCAAACTTAGACCTACCCTTATAGTTTTTCAGTAACTTTGTAGCTTATTTTGTAATTTTATTTCAGAATGGGATGAACACTACTGAAGAAGCGCCACAAGCTGGTCATTGTGGAAGAACTTGTGAGAATGATGACCTCTGGCGTTTCTAGGATGTGCTAATGTCGAATTGCAAGCATTTAGAGATTAGGAATCTAGGATCATGTTATCAGACCTATTATAGTTGCTAGATTAATCAGTTTGATCAACTTACCTTCTGAGACTATTTTATTTATGTGTTATTGTCTACAGACCTGTCTTAGATTAAATGCAAATATATTGTCTACTGTTTATATTGATCATTAAAAATCCTTTGACGCTTTTCTGTCAGAGCAAATATAATTGTTGCATCATGTGATGCAGTATCCAATGCAGATGTTATTTGCTACGTACTGCATAAAAAGAACAATAATTAAAAATATCATTCCTGGTTAATTAGAATTAATAAAAAAATGATAAATCAAAACAATCCCAAGGGTATTTCTTTGTATAGGAGAATTAACTAATAATATAAAAATAATTAGATTTTTTAATAAACTGAATTGAAAAGGTATTTGCAACGAGCAACCCTTGAGATTGTCAGTGTTCTATGCAACAACCAAGACGGATTATTTCCAAGGAAAGCTCTTGAATTTAGCTCTTGCAGAAGCTATTCTCAACGGGGTCCTAGCAAATGATAGTATTAGCTAGGCCATTAATCCCAAGGCACCAATTACAAGAGTATCCCCTTGAAAATAACATTCCCAACGAGAACAGCATCAGTCCCAACAGGGATTGGCTCTTGAGAATTCCTTCTTTTCTTGTAGTGTACTTTGGTTTCGTCTCACTTATTTCTAAATCCACGTATAAATACTACAAAAATACCACCACTTCTATCCATTAATAGGATAACACCATTAAAGTTAACACGAATGCTAGTCTAATGGGTGAAGCCGATAGTAGGCACCAATAATTTCCTTCTCTATTGTCTTGAAACATGGGTCCCGCAGCGATATAGCCTTGCCCCTCAAGACCAGCTAGGAGCATAATTTTAATGCCTAATTCATTATCACACGCACATGGAGCATTGGTGTAACACTCTATCATTGTTTTACACTATCAGTGTAACACTTTTATAACGTATAATATAAAATAGAAAATGCCAATGGGGAGCAAAGTGAACCAATTAGAAAGAAAATCTTATAGTAGTCTCATAAAAATTTGGTTCTTCCTTTTCACCAAAATTGGAACACCAATTATCATAAACATTGCATCATTTTTAAGTGCTTAGATGCTAATGGTTTCCCTATATTATATGAAGTGGCATATGTTTTAATCCACGTCTTATATATGTAAGTCACTAATGTAGCAATACATAATTGGTTAAAAATTCGTCATATTAAACTTGATGTTGTCTATGTTTTTTTCTTAAAAAAATAATATGGGTCCAACACATCATATAAAGTAGGGTCGATATATATTTGTCGCTCCTATGTATTTTTAATTTCACATGCAAGTATGTTTGAAGTTATGTCAATCCGAACCAATTAGAGAGCGCTCTAACTTGATGTAAAACATAAATTATCAATAATATAGTTTTGAGATTATTTGAAAAGGAGATCTAGAGACCCTGGCCATTCCATTAAAAAGCGAAAGAACCTACTTTTAATTTACAATTATCTATTTTCAAAACAAAGTATGTCTACTTTTCTTTTAGATGATGAAGTGGAACATAGATAATTGATTATGAAGTGCATTACATAGTATAGCATACGACTAACAAATAGCTTAAAAAAGGTTACTTAAGCAATACCGATTAAGAAAGTATTTTACACAAATTATAATTTTGAAGCGTGTTACGAATAATTCGGTTGATACTCCATAAATCTCCCAAACAAACCATTATTTAACAATGGTTGAATTTCTATTATGAAACTTTGTGTGTGAGTGACTTTCCCAATTTTCTGTAGCGATATTCTAAACTTGTTTAGGATTGCTTCGAAAGTTGGTTATGATTTTCTTCCAATTATTGCAACACATAATTTCTAAACTGAAAATTGGAATCGTGCAAAATATTGTGTCATAACTATGGAGTTTGTTGCAGTGAAAAATCTTCCATTTATACTATGTGTGTTTTGTTTTAAATATTTAGAATATCATATTTTTGGAGTTTTCAGTTTGTTGCCCTTTAGGGAAGAACAAAGAGAAGATGGAAGTGATCAAAATAGTTTTTTTAGACATAGTTTGTTTATGGCGTTGATCAATACTACTCAAAATTTTATGATAAAGACAGAAAACTCGCTTTTGAAAATGAGAGAGGTTAATCATTCAACATTATTTAAAAGAATTATTGCTAAAGAGACATACTACCACGATAATTTCCGCAGCACAATATTATTTTTAATATTTTGACAAATATCTATAGTTTAGCGCGTAGTTTGTTTCAACACCTATTGTTCATAATCACGAGGCACTTTTACTAATTTGAAGACTATATTTATTTTTCTAAACTTATTTACAATAAATAATTTATTGGAGTACACTTACAGTCATGTCAGTGGAGTTTATGATAAATATCCATCAATTATGTCTAATATATTGAAATTCCTTAAGTACAAGAAAATATATCATGAGTAGTTTATTGTGCATGTTACTTCATTGTTCATTTGTGTCAAAACTATTTGGCAAAGAAAAAATATGACCATAAATCACATGATGATTTAAGGGGTTGAATCATAGCAAAGATCATTGAGTGGAACTATTTTTGATATTTCTTTTCATATCTATGTACTATGTATGCTGCTCACTTCTCAAATACCAATAAAATAATTCTGAAAATGTCAAAAAAAAGTTTGAGAATCTTAATCTCAAACAAATTACAATTAAATCAGATCTACTTGAAAAAACACAACTAAATTGTCTTTTTTTTAATTTTTTATATATGTAGATTTAAAATGGTGTTGTATATTTGTGAAGTGATATTTCACACCCCAAAATATGATCTGAACTTTTTTAAAAAATATTAAACAACTAACTATTATATGACGGCCTCATGTGTTGTGATATATTTAGGATCGCAACACAACTTTTATAATTTAATTAAAGGAATACCATGGAATCACAAATTAGATATATAATTTAAAAATTATTTAAAAGATGGTTCAAAGAACATTGATTGGATATTTAATATTATTATTATAGATCTTAGTTTAACTATATATATTTATATTTGTGATGTAATATATTTTAGAAAATCATATTTTAAAGATCGTCGATTTTTATGGATGTAATTTTGTTGCTATCTTTTTTATGTACATTCGTATGGTTTCTTCTTTTCTTTCCGGCGAACAGAAGGTAAGGTATTGTCATATTTTAAAGATTGTCAATTTTTTTGGATGTAATTTTTTTTGCTCTCTTTTTTATGTATATGCGTATGGTTTTTTCTTTTTATTCCGGCGTTTTATGTAAAGCTATTGTTTTGTTTTCATGTACGTAAATACGTACGGGAGAAGGACATAGTTTGTACCGTATAAACTTGTACGTACATAACAACAGTAATAGCGCTTGTATCGTATAAAAGGAGAAAGTTATTATTTTTTAATAATAGATTTAATCCAATGATGTAAAATAACGAGTCCACTAATTTAAGTGAAAATTGATGGTAAGATTAGATAATGCCTTGTGATGGCCTAGGAGTGTTTCTAGGAGTGCCACGTGAGCGTTTATAGGAAGCTTAATTTAATAGACTTTTAGTATATAATAATAACGTAAATTGTAAAGGACACGTCAATATATATGATGCTCTTTAATTTTGTTTTAGCCAGAGTATACACAATGCTAGCTCTGAAATTATATCCTTCAATTAACACGATTGTTCCGTAGCAACGCGTGAGGTAGGAACTAATTCTTTATATGGTTTAGGGCTTTAGGGCAATTAAACATACTCTGCTAAGATAGGGTGCGGCCACCGTCGACGCAAATGATTTGGCCGGTGATGTATGCCGCCGCTGGCATGCAGAGGAACGCCACCAGCGATGAGACCTCCTCCGGCTTGCCTACACGCCGCATCGGCGTTCGTGCGATGTCGTCTTGTATGAAGTCCGTCCCGCTAACACCCTGAAGGTGAGGATTATTGCCGCTCTTGACCTGTGGTTGAGAGCATCAACAATTGTTCTTGAGTGAAACAAATAAATATATATCCATAATAAAAGTAGAGGGTCAATTAATAACTCAGAACTTTGATGTGAAAATAAAATCTAAAACCGGGGAACAAATATATGTAATTTAACAAAAGCACCAGCCTTCGCAATAAATTGGTGTACATATGTGTGGAGAATTAAACGTACATCATCACCAAGGGGTGTATCGATGATGCCCGGCGCGATGCAGTTCACACGGATCTTGTCGCTTGCCCATTCAACAGCTAGGCTCTTGGTAATTTGATTCATTGCTCCTGAGATTAGTAAGAGCATTATCTGGCGATTAATATTTCTAACTAACTAGACAAGACATTTCTAACTAAGCAAAAAAACTACATAGATAAAATCTATCTATCTATTATATAATAATCTATCTATTATATAATAAAAGTCCATTAAAATTCCTACAAACGCTACTAGATCGTCACTTGGCGCTCTAATAAATTAGAGAAATCAAAGAAATTGTGAAAAAAAAGCAAAACATCCCACCCTTATTCTCATTTAATACGGTAGACCCATTATTTTTCACCATCAGATCTATATTTAAACAAAATCTAAAAACCCATCCATAAGTCCCACCCCACCCTACCCCACCACCTCCTGGGCCTCCTCTCCCCACCACGTATATACGTATGTATGTACGTACTTACGTCCGTCTATCCGTCCACCCCCTCAAAATTTAAGATTAAATTTCTTTTAGACAATGAAATAGAAAATAAAATCAAACATTATAAACCATAGATTTCTACTCCCTCCGAGCTGATAATACTTGTCGTTTTGGATAAGGGTGAAGTCAAACTTTAGAATCTTTGATTATGAATCATTTTTAAAATATTTGTCTTTCAAATATGGTGACTACATGTATAGATTATTCTTAAAAAGTACTTTAATAAGATCATATATTTGCTAACAATTTTATACATATTATAATAAAAAATAATGGTCAAAGTTGTTTTTTAAAGACCGTGCCCTTGTTCAAAACGACAAGTATTATCAACTCATAGGGAGTATTACATACTAAACTATATTAAACTTCCTACCAACACTCCTAAGGCAACACGTGCTACTCTACAAACTCTTCTATGTCACCACGTGACGCACCACGTGACACTCTAACGAATTAGAGAAAATCATAGATATTCACAGAAAAAATGAATGTAGTCTTTATTTTTACTTAAATTGATGGGCCCATTATTTTAGACCATTATATTAGATCTTACTTTGAAAAAATAAAAATGTAATCTTTCCATCATAATCCCCGTCCACGTACGAGAGAAAATGCGTAAGTTCGTAAAGTTCACCATTTTAAAAATGTAATCTTTCCATCCTAATTATCCTCGTCTAAGTACGACAGAAAATGCTTACGTTCGTAAAGTTCACGAGAAAAAAATGTACGTGAGAAAATACATATGTACATAAAGTTCGCCACGTAGGTAGAGTTCACCGGGAGAAAAAACTATACAGGCCAAAGCAAAAAAACCCACCTACGTACCTATAGTATGATGGAAAAATATATATTACAAACCACATAAACCACATACATAGTGGAAACCTTAAAACTACCATTGGATCCAAAAATAAACGCATTAGATTTGTCCATGTTGCTACATATTTTTCGTAGTATGATTGGAAAATAAAATTCAACAGTATTTTTTTCATCTCAGAGAAAGCTAAAATATATCACTTCCTCTTTTTTTTTCTATAACATTTGACCATTCTTCTTATTAAAAATATATAAATATGTAAAATTATAAATTGAGATTATAGATTTTTTTATGATAAAACAAGTCATGATAAAACAAATATCATTTATATGTTTCTTTTAATGCAAATTGTGAAATGTCATATCAAAATTTAATGACGTCATACATTAAAAACCATTAAAAACCAGAACGAGTACTTCACAAACATTAAAGTGGTAAACACGGTATTTTAGGCCATTAAATATCCAACTCCCCATGTATATATGGAGAGTTAGACAGAAATAAACTAAACAAATATACATTCGATGCGAAAAACGATACGTGCACACTTAGCATTATTTGGAAAAGTAAATGGTATTTAAAACTGGGATTTTCTATGATTTGAAGATAACATTAGTCCGTAATCAAACACAGCTAAACTACATCAAAGATTAATTATACTAGTTAAACTACATCAAAGATAAAATATCAAATTAATGGCCATTAAATTAATGTCGTTACTTGAAATTATATATCGTCAAGTTTTTTATCATCAAATGAACTATTAACGGATTATAACAGTTATTTGTAGTGCTAAATACATCATAACACATGGTGTCGACATATAATAATTATTGTCATAATAACTTTTAAATAATTTCACATCATATTTTATGGTGTAAAATATCACCTAACAAGTATACACACTAATATGAATCTACATATGTAAAATAAAAACAATAGAATTTAGTCATCTTTTTAGAAGTAGATCTAATTTAATTTTGAAAGCTTTTTAATTTTTCAAAACTATTTGACTGGTGTAGATATGAAGTCGGAAGCATACATGGTCACAATCCAGAAGCATACATTCTTGTAGATACGAAAAATAATATCAAAAATGTTTCTAGCTACTATAATACTACCCCTTAGAACATCACAATAATTATGGTCGTATATGTAAATTTGTTTCATTTGCCAAAATAGTGTTGGCAACAAATGAACAATCAAGTAACATTGACATTAAAGTACTCATAATATATTTTCTAATAGTTGAGAAATTCCCATATGTAGGGCATTGTTGATGGATGGATGTTATACACCCCATTAACGTGGCTGTAAGTGCACTCCAATGAATAAGTTACAGCAAATACGTTTGGGAAAATAAACAAATTTTTGAAATTAGTAAATTTGTCTTGAACAATAAGTGTTAAAAACAAACCAGGGGTTAATCTTGGAGATTATTAGTGCGGTATTTCTCTTTAGCTATATTTTCCAGCAATATCCAATTATTAACCTCGCTCATTTTCGAAAAAGAATATTGTATCTATACTATTAAAATTTGAGTAATATTAATTAACAATATAAACAAACTATGTCTACACTATACCCTAAAACAACTCAGAATATAAAAAACAATTTATTTTCATCACCTTCATCTTCTCTTTGTCCTTTTTTGAAGGGCATCATGCATGATAATAGAGCATGCTATGCAATCATAAGTATAGCTGGGACATACATATAGTGGGCTGAGATAGTCTCAATGAGAGGATACCTTTGGCAATAGAGCTCAACTTCCTACCCAGGAGACAATTCTCTATGAGGGCACCTATAATTAATTAGGCATTAAAATTATGCTCCACGCTGGTCTAGAGAGGCACGGCTATGAGAAACCCATATCTCACGGCAGCAGGGAAGAAAGCCTTGGCGCCCGCGGTCAACTTCACCCACTACACGAATATTCTTATCTAATTTAACGTTGTTATCCTATTAATTGATAGAAGAGGTATTGTTAGAATATTTATACATAGATTTGGAAAGAAGTGAGACATGGACACTCATCTAAATAACATAGATGATTTTTTAGTTAACTAATAATGTATTAATCTTATTGTAATGGTATGATGTAGTTTGATCTATTAAATATACTCTCAACTTTCAAAATCAATGATAATGATAATAAGTATCCACTAAAACAATACAATTGTCATGAGAAGAGGTGACAATAGAAAAGTGATTTTTATTTTAAATTTAGGAGACACTCGTTATGAGTATAGTAGTGGTGAGACGGTATAGATGTTTTCTTATTATAAAATAATATATAATACTCTACAATGAATATGGCAAGTTGATTTATTTTATTATTCTTTTCATCAATAAAAAATAAGATGCCAACCTTTTTCCTAGCTAGAAAGAAAGATTACAAATGATTTCTTATAGGCATGAATTAAATACTAAATAATTTCAAGTTACCAAATAGTTTGGAAAAAAATTACCGAGCGATGCTAATGAAGAAATTTTTTGAAGAAATTGTACTTTTGAAGCATGGCAGGTATCATCTGGTTATATTCCACTTATATAGGTTTCCAAAACACAACATGCTATACATGCCCGCGCATTGCGCGGGCTACCTTCCTACTTATTTTGGAATTACACTTAAAGGCATTTATGAATGGCAACCTATCCTATTCAGACAAATTTCAAATGCTAATCGCCGTGGCCACCAACTTTACAAAAAGTAACAAAATAATAATAATAATAATTGCACACTATCAAGCACCTACGTATAAAAGTTTCAACCCTAAATTTGTGTTGGTACGCAGAGTGAATATACTCAGTGATCTTTTATTCTTTAATTACCTTTTGCAGTTGAGAAGACACAGATGGGGAGAGTTGGGAATCCGGTAACAGTCGATATGCCAGAGATATTGACGATGTTGCCCTTGCCGGAGGCCTTGAGGAGAGGGTGCACCAGCTGGCTTAGGTGGAAGCATGACTCCAGGTTGCCCGCCATCACACTGGAGAGCTCCTCCGGTGTCACGTTCACCGCTGGTTTTAGGAAGAAGAAGCCGACATTGTTCACCTGTAGGTAATTTAAATTAAGTCATATCTAATAGCGATCGATTGCCTGCATTTCTAGCAGATTTAATCCATACTTGCATGCCTAAATTATTTACCCTTCTTTTGGGAGTGTTTGGTCGCTTGATAGTGGTAAGACCGGGTCAAAAGAAGAAATGCCCAGGCTAGCATCAACCAGATGTGAGAATACAATTGTGACTTGTTTGGTTGTTTAGCTATGGTAAGTCTGTATATGTTTAAAGAAATTTTATAGCCGTGAAAGGTATAAAAAAATTTAGTGTAAATTTAGTACCTCCTAATACCGAGAGGTCCAAATTTTACAGTAGAAAATATGATATTTTTCGGTACCTTCTCATAGACTATAAACTCACTCATATGTTTAGGATGTTGTTTGATTAATTGCACCGGAGATGTTGAATAAGTAGTATAAGAAAAAACTATTAGAACTAGTTTAGCTGTCTAAGAACAATTTAATATATTTTTTTTGAACGAATTGCACCGGACGATGCAAGTTTTATATTAACAAGATTACCAATTTGGGAGGCAATAATCAGGAAAAGGGAAAAAACACCAAAGCAATACCAACACATGCCAACTGCACCTGCACACACTCCCCGGAAAGGATCTAGCATCAAGCCGGCCTCCGCTATGCATGATTGGATGCCGCTAGCCCCACGAAGGGGTCACAAACGACCTTCCTAAGCCAACTCCAACCAAAAGATCCCCCCATAGGCTCTGAGCCATCGCCACGTAGAAGGGTTGCCAAAGGAGAGGGCGAGAGAGAAGAAGATCCACTCCTCCCACGAGCAAACCGGATGGCAACATCCAAGAATGTTGTCGAAGACTGAAAGATCGAATGTTGGATAGGCAACAGAGCCGCCCATCCAGAAGAGGACTTGGTTTTCACCCGAGGTCCTGCTAGAGGGAGAGGTAGGCCTCTCAACAACGCCCTTAGGAGGGATTGAAACGTTGAAGACATTGTCGTTGTTTGCCCAGACAAGGTGTCAAGCAAGGCTTTCGCCTATAGCCGATCTCCTCCTCCTGTTATGACACCGACGTCCTGCCACCGTCAGACCTCTGCTAGCATGTGCTCTCTACCACACTGATGCCCCTCCGTCGACTGGCCATCGTCGCACCGGGAGCACCACTGCACCGACGACCCTCATCGGCTCCTCCGCACGCCGACCGTCCCAATTCTACAACATGAAGCAACGAGGGAGGCGAGTAGAACACCTCCAGTGCTAGGCACCACCACCATCTCTACGCTAGAGCTCTCCACGACCGTATCTGGAGACAGAACGGCTAAAGGAGGGGGAGCACTAGGGGAAGAAGGGGCATGCCAGGCAAAGAGGGGAGACCCATCGTCGTTGCCAATTTTGTGCCGCCACCATAGGGTCCAGCTCACCGTCACCCCCGGCCTCCCACTGATACCCACGCGCGCGGCCTCACGCACACTGCCGTCCACTGCAGCTAGCTGCTCCGTCCTCCCGCCGGCCTCTCCCTCCTGGTGGCTATACGCATGGCCCGCACCGCTACTGCCCGCCCGCTACCGCCATCCGTGCCCAGCCTCTCCCTCCCAGCAGCTACCATCGTGCCTCTCATTGCCTTCGCCCCCCGCTGCTCGACCCCAGCTAGATCCGACGCGGAGGCACTAGATCCAGCCGTAGGAGCATCAGATTTGGTCGCGGAAGTGCCGGATCTGCCACCTCCCTCGCCGGGGAGGATGTGCCGCTGCCACCTCCAGGTCTCCGGTTCACAACTCGTCACGCTGCCTCTCCCACGCTCGAGACAGGGCGCCTCTACGATAAGGCCCCTCCACCGCCATCCTGGCTCATCGCCCGGTTCTCCGACGACACGCTCCGGCGGCAGCGAGGTGGGGGGATGGGGAAGGTGCGGCAGTGGGGGCTAGGGTTTTGTCCCTGAGTCGCCTAGGCGTGGGTGACGCGAGAGCCTAGAACAATTTAACACATACTACCTCTATCCCAAATTAATTGTGATTCTAGGTTGTTTAGTGTTGGAGGCATGCCATGAAGCCCTTCGACCGGACCTGCCGAAACTATAGTACCAGCAAGGATTCAAGCCAAAGATGTCAAGGCCATTCAGGCGAAGCCCTATGGCGAAAGCCATAAGCGAAGATGGCGAAGGCTGGAAAGCCGCGTCGGTATTCTGAAAGTAAAGGCATCTCGGGTGAAGGCATCTTCGGCGAACTACAAAGACTTCGCCATGACGAGTTCGGCATCAAGGAGGCCCAACAGGCCGCCCCTGGCCTTTTAAGCCCGTTTGCCATAGACCAGGCCCAGCCTATCAGCCCATTAAAGGCCTATATGTGCAAATGACACTGCATACCCATGTAAATGTCCCTTTCATAAGGGCAACCATGTAAAATCCCCTGTAACACTAAACCCTAGAAAGTGCAAGCTTGTGCTAAGGCTATAAATAAACCTCTAGGGCCATGTAATGGGGGGATCCCCAAAAAATATTTCACGAATCAATACAATTGCTTTTACATTCCAACTACTGTTGAGAGAACCACGCCTTTCGACATGGCATAGTTGTACATTCGACAACAGCTGGCGCCGTCCGTGGGGAACCCAGACCGAAAAGGCGAAATGGGACCCCTTTCACCACACCCTTTGCCACAGTACCCGCGTGGTACGGCGACAAGGGCTGGGGGCGAAAGTGAGTTAAGTCCAAGTTGGGGGGCTACGAAGCCGCCCAAGCCTCTGGACACCTTTCGCCACATGCCACGCCCTTCGCCATAGTACCAATAAGGCACGGCGTCAAGGGCTGCTGGCGAACAGGTTTCGCCAACCCACGCCCTTCGCCATAGTGCCAATATAGCACGGCGTCAAGGGCTGCGGGCGAACAGGTTTCGCCACACGCCACACCCTTCGCCATAGTACCAATAATGTATGGCGTCAAGGGTTGGGGGCGAATATAAGTTGCTTCCAAGCTGGGGGGCTACGAGGCCACCCTAGCCTCTGGAGCCTTTCGCCACACCCACACCCTTCGCCACAGTACCCGCGCGGTACGGCGACAAGGGCTGGGGGCGAAAGTGGGTTAAGTCCAAGCTGGAGGGCTACGAAGCCGCCCAAGCCTCTGTCGCGACCGAGAAAAATACATTTTCCCAAATGCTAGTGTATTAATCCCCGTCCCAGGAAAAGCCGAGGTACACCACACAAACATGATACAAAAGGCACATCTTTATTATATCGATAATATTTACATTATTACAAAGGCACTTAAGGCCTGACAATCAAAAATAAACAGCAGCGGACTAGCGGGCCTACGGCTCCATCTTCACAGGTGCTCAACTGGGGTATAATCCAGGACTCCACCTAAGACTTCTTCTCCAAAGCTTCTCTTACTGAAGGGGGGGAAAGATTGAGCAAGAATGAGTACAACCACAGTACTCAGCAAGCCACACCGGCGGATGCATGATTAATACAAGGGGGTACAAGGGGTAATAATATAGGGGTTAAGTTTTGCAGAAAACAGCATTTAAAAGTCACTTAGTTGCCCAAAGCCATTTTATAAAGACGATCCTAGAGTTACACAGTGTTATTAATCAAGGCCGTGAACCCTCACGAACCTGCCTTAACCCAAGGCCTACGATGATTCAGACCGAACTGGCAACCCGACCCTGGGTCCCAGCTCGTCCCAAGCCAACCCAGGCCAACCATTCCACATTTTAGTTGTTAAGCAGGTTTTAAGAATTAAAACACTAACTTGGGTACATTGCTAGGCTTGCCCATAACCGAGGGCGCGGCTATTCGAATAGGTTTTACTCTGATCAGAGGTGTACATCTTTACCCACAAGACACATCTTCCTCACGTGTAACCACGTGCCACATACCACCACGGTATACGGACGGAAGACGTGACATAGTTCCCAACCCATCCTAGCCATAAACAAGAGTACCGACCCAACCCCACCTACGGCCGGAACCCCCGGGACAGGCAGGCAGGATTGAACCCCTAGCAGCAGGACACCAGCCCTGTGCCATGACATCTCGACTACCGAGCCGCAGCTCGTGTAGCCTTCATTTGTCCTAGAGATGTCCATCGACCCCCGACTTCGTCCATCTCCATCCGTGTACTTTTGTTTATAACCAGACTGAGCCACAAACTAAGCCTTACCCACTAGACATGTGGAAGTACGGTAGTGCTTTGCAACAGAGGCCTGAGCTTAATCCTTATAGTACCCGAGGTACGACTAACAAAACCCAACCACGCACCTCGAGCCCAGCCTAAAACCATTTTGGGGGTTTTGAATAGAGGGGGAGGTGTGTGTCCAATTCCATCATAAGCCAACCATTCCATAGTGTCCAAATGATATGAGAATTCCCAAAGTCTAAAGTTATAAAACCACCTAATGTTGCCTAATTAATCAGCGAAGCATCTACCTAAATTCATACTAGTGGAACCATGAATAGAGTACCCACTAGTTGGGGTTTTGTTTATCCTAGGGTGAACAAGGTAATAATAACAATAGCAATAATAATAAGGTCATAACAAAGATAAATAGGCATGACTAAATAAAACAATGATAACGCGGGAATTTAAATAAAGCGATAATGCATTAATTTAAATCAAAATAATTTTATAAACTGGGATTCAATATGTTCAAGGATGATGTGACTTGCCTTGCTCAGAGAGAACGGCCTTCCGAACCTTCGGCGACGACCACAAAGCACGCTTCGGGAACCTCCGGAACGACAGAAGCTACGCGAAGCACACAAGCAAAGCTACAAGCCTATAAAGAAGCAATAACAATATATAAAAAGAAAGCACACGGTTCTTTAGGTTATAACAAACATTAAGAGACTTGAACGGGTCGATTCGGAGCTCGTATGACCAAGATATGATCATCCGAAGTTTAATGCTGTTATATGGAGATTTGCGGATTATTATAATTAAGCTTTGCAACTATAAAACATATGGAAGCGCTAGCCTGGAAAAGACAGGAAGGCTGCGCTGTTGACATGCGGACCCCACATGTCA